ATTCTAGTTCATATACTTCAGCTCTTAGCAAGTTCAGTGTTAAACCAGCTCTAGGGCACTGACAAGACCAAGGCCAATTCACCAAAAAGGATGCCACCTCTTGGGAATCCTGGTTACATACCCCCCAAAAGACAAAGAAGCTGAGCTGGATCCCTGTTGCATTCTCCTGGGCAATGGCATGTCATCCTAACCAGTCTCTAGGAAGATTTGAAGTCTAAGTCAAGAGACAAGTTAGGAAAGCTTGGGCTTGAAGTCTTTTGGGGGACAAAGGCCCCTCACCAAGCTGCACATACTTGGTAACTCCTCTTTTACCATACAGGAAGGGCCCAAGACACATTCTGGGGACTCAGGGGTGAGTCACACAGTAACTCCAAGGGAGGGCCACTGGCCCCTCTTCCCTTGCCAGCCTGATCCATCAGTCAATCCCCAGTAGATGCTAGAGTTTCACAACATTCATCAGGCTCCACATTTTACAATGGGCAGCCCCCACAGGTTGAGCTCTCTGGCACTTCCTGTATCACTCTTGATAAGCAGACTTAGTCAGGGCTTGGTACACTGTGGCAGCTGACCACTCATAACACCAACTCTCTCCCTTACTTGATGCAAGCCCCCCAGCCATAGCTCCTCCGCTTTTCCTCCTGTATACAGTTGGTTGGTAAGTGAGTGACCTCAGATTCATCTGCCCCATCTCTACTCAGCTTTCTTCCTCCAGAGGACACAGAAGTTTTAGACCCCAAGTTTTAGGAACTCAAAATGTAGAAAACATAGTAGAGCAAGAGGAAGGAGGAACTGGAAGACCCCTTAGGCCTTTTAAGAGTGCTAAACTGGGGTGCTGAAGTCTTGCTGTGACTGTTTTTAAAGAGCATTTTGGTAGCTAATCAGCTATTGTCCTTTTCATGCAATGCCACTTTGAGGTCCTCAGATCAAGTGGGACTTGTCAAACTTCCATAAATAGAGAAACAAAACCCCACTTCAATAAATAGTTATTGAATGAAGAGAAGAATAAACTCAAAGTACTGCAGGACGCAGAGACACGCCTCTCAGTGTCCCAGACTTGACAGAACTAACATGAAGACTATGATATTGGACAACACAGAGTCCACTTTATCCTGAAAGCAAAAACAGATAAACTCCCTAATCAACCAGCCATATGGGCTCCCTGGAATACCTAAGTAAAAATTAGGTGCTTGTACAGACAGCAGTTAAGGATGTGAATGACGGAGATTGTGTCTGTACAGCTTATGGACTGTTTAACAACTCAGGCACGGACCCCATTTCCAGAAATACTTTATTTAAATATGATTGGGGGCTGATAGGCCACCCCCTCCTCCCTCCTTTTTTGATTATGCTAAATGGATTGGCCTTTTAAGAGGGTGGTTTTCTTCTGCCCTGTCTATGTTATCCTATTTTAATTGTTTTCATTTCTAACTTTGGTGCATCCAAAACATCTCAGCAGGAGGACATTTTCCCATGAAATAGTTATTATTAGTAGTAATTACATAAAGGTTCTTAATATAATTCTGTATGGAATGTATTTTCACTTAAGTTATACTTTATCAAATAGCTGGATTTCCCCAAAAGTGGTTGGAGAGATCTATCCAGGGCTATCTTGAATGAAAAAAAGACTGCTTGGGACCAGAGGATAGATCTGCGTTGCTTCCTCAGAGAAGTACAGCTAATCCTAAAATTCATCACCCAGACAGCACCTAGCAATTTTGAAAGCATACCTGAAAGATAACTAACATGCACGATGCTGAATGTGAGAGAAAAGTCATGCCGTGGTGTAGAGTACACAGACTCTGGGTTTGTAAGCCAGATGGGCTGAGCTAAGGGCCTGACTCTGTCCTCAGCAGCTGTGTGGTTCTGAATGAGTATCTTCACCTTCCAAGCCTCCACTGCCTTACTGTAAAATACTGTGTCAGGTCTCAGTGTCAGCTTTTCCAGGGCAGAGCACACAAGAGGGAATCAATACATGCTAGCTGTTAGCTGTCTCATCAAGGTGTGAGAACAACATTCTACTGGCTAAGGGACAGAATGTTCTGGAACAAACCAACTCTGGGATGTGCAGTGAAGGCAGGGAGAGCAAAACCAATCAGGGAAGGATTAAGTTAGGGAGGAAGAATGAGTTCTACCTCCAGAGCCAAAGCCAAAATGCCTGTGAAGCCTTGACATGTAAGAGCCAACACAGAGCCAAAAGGTCTAGTGACTTCTGAGTAAGCTTTTGCTGCAATAAAAAAATTTTGGATTATTGTGAGAATCTCCCGTGAGCCACCCATATGTTGCAGGTCCTTCTCAGCTCCAATACTGATATAATGCATCCCAGATAAAGTATGAGCAGGCTCAAGCTGGCTAGCAGCTTGAAAAACTGGAGTTGATCGAATCGACCTTGAGAAACACGAGAAGGTAATATTTGATGATATGCCAGATAAAATCCCTGCATAAAGATGTGAGATACAGAAGGACATGAAGAAAACCAGACGAGCAAATTTCAAGGGTGGGGGACAGGTGACATAAGCTCAGCATACATCACCGAGGCAGGGCTTGGGACCTCACGTACTTTCTGGGCTGTATCAGTAGGGCGATGATGTGAAACAGCAATGACATTATCCTCCAAGGACTCCCATTTACAAGGCTTTAGGAGCTAAATTAGAGCTTCCATAATCATAATCTAGGGAAAATTAGGGACATGGTACGATGGAATTCATGGAGAGCAAGCAAACAGATGATGAAGGGGTTGAGTTTCTTCAGTCTACCTGTAGCAGTCCAGTCGATTCTAACTCACAGCGACCCTAAAGGACAGGGTAGAACTGCCCCACAGGGTTTCCCAAGAGCAGGTGGTGGATTTCAACTACCCACCTTTTGTTTAGCAGCCGAGCTCTTAACCGCTGCACTACCAGGGCTCCTTCTTCAGTCTACTACCTATAAAATCTGACTTAAATGTTTAAAATGTTATATAAGTTTTGCTTTCATTCCCCATTTCCTTTTCCCATGTTCCTGACAGTGAATATCCGTGGATAGTTGCTTCCCTGGGATCACTGTTTGCCTGTTCAGCTCAATTTTCTATTCAGGTAGAGTGAAGTTATTCAGTAATAAAACTCTGTCATCTAAAAACTGACTTACAGGGACCAAATTGTGGCTTAAATTGCAAGAAAGGGAAGCTGAATGTGGGACTTCGAGCTCATCCCACCCATCCTTCTTCTGTGTGTAAACCTTTTCATGAGTTTTTATAATAGTGGTCTCATAACAGTATTTGTCTTTTTGTGATTGACTTATCTTACTCAGCATAATGCCCCCCAGATTCATCCATGCTGTAAGGTGTTTTGCAGATTCATCATTGTTCTTTATCGCTGTGTAGTATTCCATTCTGTGTATGTACCATACCTGGTTTATCCATTTATCTGTTGGTGGGCACTTAGGTTGTTTCCATCTTTTTGCTATTGTGAATAATACTGCAGTAAATGTCGGTGTGTATATGTCTATTCGTGTGATGGCTCTTATTTCTCTAGGATATATTCCTAGAAGTGGGATTCTTGGATCATATGGTATTTCTATTTCTAGTTTTTTTAAGGAAGCATCATTTCGTTTTCCAAAATGGTTGTACCATTTTACATTCCCACCAGCAGCGCATTCTAAGAGTTCCAAGCTCCCCGCAGCCTCTCCAACATTTGTTATTTTCTGTTTTTTTGATTTGTGCCAGTAATGTCGGGGTGAGATGGTATCTCCTTGTAGTTTTGATTTGCATTTCTCTAATGGCTAGTGATCTTGAGCATTTCCTCATGTGTCTGTTAGCTGCCTGAATGTCTTCTTTGATGAAGTGTCTGTTCATATCCTTTGCCCATTTTTTTTAATTGGATTATTTGTCTTTTTACAGTAGAGGTGTGGGATTTTCCTATGGATTTTAAATATACAAACTCCCCAATATTTTAATGCTAGCAATGTCTATTTCTTCCTTAGCAGTAGACACCCCCAGCACCTATCAGTGGCACACTTCATAAATATGTGAGCGAACGACAAGTGAATGAATGAATGCAGACTATTCATGCTGAAAGCCCAGTGATCACATCAAAACATCAAACAGCTGGCGTCTGTCTCAGGCTCTTCATGACAGGCTCTTCATGACACCACCTGTCCCTCTCTGACCTCTTCCTTTCCCATTCAGCTTCAGCCACACTAACTCCCCTGCTGATCCTTGAGTCCTCCATGTACATTTCTACCTCTGTGCCTTTGTACATGCTGTTCTCACTGTTTAGAAAGCTACTTCCCCTGACATGTGCATGGCTGACTATTTCATTCAAGACTTAGACTAAATGTTACAATTTTAGACAAGTCTCAGCTGACCAGCCCATGTCACTCCCCATCCCCTACTCTGTTTTATTTTCCTTCACTGAACTTATCACAGCCTGACATTCTATTAAATATTAACTTGATCATACCTTTATGGTCTGCTTCTTCTAGCTACAAGGTAAGCCCCATGAGGCCAGGGATCTTGTTCTGTATGATGCTATATCCTTAGCTACAAGAGCACTGCAAACCCTCAACAAATGTTCGTTGAGTGAATTCACACGTGATAATACACACAGGCATATCAGCATGGACATCCACACAGAGTGAAAAGTGTTAAGTAAAAAACAGAGATAGGGTTAAAGCCTACTCCTTTCTAATCTTAAAATCCGTTAAGTGTAACAATCTCCTAGTTGCATTCATGGGCATTTACTACATTTTAGTTTTCTTAATACATGAGTTAAATGAGTAAACATTCTCAAACCTCTGAGTAATAAAAGCAGGTCACACTGACAATGAACTATAAACAAATGTGTGTATAATAATAGGCTTGCTCATTCTTTCACTGAAAAAGTAAACAAAATGAATATGGCTTTAAAAATAAAGAAAACATTATTCCAAGAGCAATAAACTTCACACACTATTCTAAAATTTCCATGTGTTTATCCTAGTGTGTATATTTGACAATTAAAAAAAAAAAAAAGCAGTCATGTGCTTACCCATTCTTCTAAAATGCGTGACACTGCTTCATTGGCTCTTGCCATGTTCCTACAGGCCAGGATCACATGTGCGCCATGAAGGGCAAAAGACTTGGCAGTTTCAAATCCTATGGTTTAAAGGAAAAGTCAACATTAGAAATATAACATCAAAATATTGAATGGCCTTTAAAGGCCACATGCATTGCCCTAGGGCAGTGATTCTCAACTAGGGGCAATTTTGCCTCCCACAGAACCTATCTGGCAATTTCTGGAGGTATTTTCAGTGGCCACAGTTGGGAGTAGACTGCTATTGGCATATAGTGGGTAAAGGCCAGGGATGCTACTAAACAACCTACAAGGTACAGGATAGTCCCCCACAACACAGAATAATCTGGCCCAAAATGTTAACAGTGCCAACGTTGAGAAATCCAGCTCTAGAAACACAGTGATTTCAAAGGTGAAGGTTGAGCCATAGAAGAGCTCCAGGCATAGTCAGTCATTTAACTATCACTTAATGAAGACCAGATTCTGAGCTAAATATAAAGGATAAGGCTACACAAAGAACTGAGATATGGCCGCTGCCCTCAAAGAGTTCATGGTTTATAATGAAAGAGAACACATCCGGAAAGTGAAACAAATAAACAGCATTTACTGAGCTCTTGACAATATGTCATGACAGAAAAAGAGAGAGGAAGAGGGAGAAACAGAGACAAGAAACAGAAGCATATATACACAGAAAGAACGAAAGAGGAGAGACAGAAAAAAGTACAACCGACCAATACCAGGAATAAATAAAAGGACATCACTATAGATCCTACAAACACTAAAAAATCTTAAGAAGCTATGTTGAAAAACTTCATGCCAACAAATTTAAGATATAGGTGAAAAACGGTGAAATCCCAGAAAAACACTACTTAGAAACTGCCACCAAAAAAAAAACCTGAAAAACTGTAAAGTTCTATATATTCAAACCAACAGAATCCAAATTCTCAAAAAGAACATTCTCGACCCATATGTCTTCAACAGTGAATTTTGCCAAATATTTAAGAAAGAAAAAAACACCAAACTTATATAAACTCTTTGAGATAACAGAAAAAGAAGACAAAAATCCCAATTATTTTATAAAAAATTATTTTATAAAGCTCAACCTCATTTGTCATTAGGAAATGAAAATTAAAGATACAATGAGAAACCACTACTTATCTACTACTACAAAATTTCAAAGAAAAAACTGGCCATACCAAATGTTGGGGAGGATGTGAAACAACTGGAACTCTTGTATGTTACTGATTAAAAAACAAAATAGTCTAATTCCAGAATTTCAGCACCAAACCACTGCTCTAAACTGTAAAATATCACATTTTATGAGCTATGATGGAAGACTGTAGAGGCAACACTGCAACAACAGCAAAGGAATCAATTCTACTAGAGAAGGTAGCAATGTAATTCAGCCAAATCAAGGCCAAATGACAATGAATTATTATGTCCAAGATAATGTAATATTTACAGAAAATCAGGGTATCATTATCTTTCTGAGATCGGCATGTGAAAGAGCCTCCCAAAGTTCATTCATTCATATCACTTCCATATATCTAATCTTCATGGAGGCTGGTCTATTTATATACACTAGTTCTCAAGGGAAGCCAGCACAGAACAGTGGAAAACTCAAACTCAGGAATTCAACACACTTGCATTGATCTCAGCTCTAACCATTTACAAGGTATGAGACCTAAGGCTATGCCTTTAACTCATCTGAAATGCAATTATCTTTTCTATAAAATGGGAAGTAGATGGTAAACATATACTAAGAGCTTAACATAACCATAGTTGATGGGAAATAAATGTTAGTTCCCTCATATTTTCAAAATCCTTGGTGTAAAATCCTATGTCTTCTCTGATTCATAGGACCTACCAAATATATTATGATCATTATGATTGAAAAAATTAAAACTCTCTCCTAGATCTTTTCCCAACAGCAACCCTTGAGCTGAATGGCTTTGATATCAACCAGAATTCAAAGAAATCTTCCTACAGGATCCACCATGCCATTTGCCTGAATTCCAGCTCCAGCTCACACTTGAACTTTATTGTTGAGACAATCTGTTATTTTTTGAGAGTTCTGAATTCCCAGATGTTCACTTACCATTACCTAAGGATGAGCCTTCTATAATAGTGCACAAAGGATTTCAAATCTAAAATATTTAACATCTTAATCTGTTTGCCTCCTCTTTGGTGCATGTAGTAAAAGATGTTTGAAGCCAAATCTTCTAGCTATGAAGCAAGAAGACAAAAATCTGTAATTTATTCACTTTTACCCATGATGCCAACTTCACCCCTTACCACCGGGGAGCAAAAGGCGCCTAGATCATTCAGGAAAGAGAGAGAAAAGTCAAGCATCAGGTTTTGTAGCCTAGCTGCTCCCACCCTGGACAGAAGCAACCATGAGATGAAATCTTACTGAATGATATGCTACATCCATCCTGAAGTGGCTGAAACACCTTCACTTTACCTTTAAGGACTTTACACACCCGGAAGATCTTGGAGAAAATGGTGGACTCTGTGTCCCTTGGAAATTTCCAAGTCAAAGCAATAATCAGAAATATTTTCCACTACATTTTCATAAGAGGGTGTCAAAAGGAAAAAATGATCCACGGAAGTAGGGAAAGATGGTGGATGCAATACTTACTCATTTTTTACTAACCATGTTTTTAATGGATTGAAAGAGCATCAACATAATGCAAGGTTAGGCAGGCCTGTTTATTTATCTAATTAACTTTACTAGGTAAACTATAAACTCCTTGGGTTAACTATATACTCCTTGGGGACTAGCACTCAGCCATTGTTGTTGCTGTTAGTTGCTGTCAAGTCGGCTCCAACTCATGGTGACGGTCTGTATGACTGAATGAAAGCCTGTCCGATCTTGTGCCATCTTCAAGATCGTTGGTATTTTGAGCCCATTACTGCAGCTACTGTGTCAGTCCATCTCATTGAGGGTTTTCTTCATTTTCACTGACTCTGGACTTTACTATATACGACGTCCTTTGCTAGTACCCAGTAGGATTCAATAAATACCTGCCAAAGCAACAAATAGTTCCAGTAGATTGCTAATAGGCCACAATTCTGGACTATTTTAAAACAATCTTAGTCGTTTCAAACAGCAGTACTGATGGCTCTCTAACCTCCTTTTTAATAATGATTAAATATTAAAATCCTGCAAAGATATCACTCACTGCAGTTTTGAATGACACTACATACAAATCTGTGGGGAAGAAAGCATGCCCTTTTTCTATCAAATTTTATTTTCCCAAACAAACGTGTTAAGTCATGCTATTTCACTTGACAAAATAACCTCCCGCAAAGGACTTTTTATGACCAAAAAGAGCACATCTGACATGATGGCAGCAACAGGCTGCAGGCACAAGCTTGTGCCCTCTCTCCTTAAGATAATTTCCGAGTGTAGCATGGTTAAGCCATCTGTCTCTGTGTCTTGGAAAATTATACTTTGGGTCTTACATCTTCCTTTATCTAAGCAGTGCATTAACACTGCTAGTCTACTTTTAAAAGCTGCAACAGACAACACCATTTTCTTATTCTTTACAATTGCCTTTGGAGAAAAAACAAAGCATGGATATTTCAAAAGATGATGGCTTAACAGGAAGCACAATAACACTTTTACAGGAAGTCATATCTCTACAGTGTGGAGTTTAAAAAAAAAAAAAAAAAAGTTTAATAACACTACCTACTGCGAAAGTCCTGCATAAAGCCCAGGAGACTAGTATCCCTCACTCCGATAATACTGCAGCTGATGACCAGTCTAATTAGCTAAATGTAGTGGTGCTAAGCCAATTCTGCACACTGCCAAAGTTTGTGCAAAATAATGAAGGCAACGGTTTACTAAATTTAATAACCTGATTCATCTTATAAAAAATTAACTTTATGACAATGTTTAAATCGAGCCAGCTTAACTGCATGGAGATAGCAAATGTGTGTCCAGAAGAATATTTAAAGCTAATAATATAAAGAAAATGAAGGAAGGCATTTTAAAACAATAGCCAGCATCAGTTTTCCAGCACTTGTTACATCCAATCCATTCAGAAAAATTAAGTGGCCATGGAGGTTTAATATCTCACTGTTTTGGGTTTTAAGCTTTGGACACAAAACACATTAAAGTACCATAAAATCGCAAACATAAAAAAATAATAAATTTCTGCTTTTCTTACACTAGTTTCCATTCTCTAGAATAGAAGTTACAAACTAGTACGACAGGATAAATCAAGTCATAGACCTGCTTTGTTTGGCCTATACTTTGTCTTCCTTCTTCTCTTTATTCCCTTCTTTCCTCACTTCCCTCCTTCTTCCTTTCCCCCTCTTTTCCTTTCCCCTTCTCACCCTCTCTCCCTTCCTTCCTCCTTCCCTTCCTTCATCCCCCTTCCTTACCTTCCTTTTTCCCTTCCTTCTCGCCTTCCTTTTTTTCCTCTCTTCCTTCCTAATATGAATTATTTGCCAGCATGAAATACTGGGGAGATTGCATATCAAAAGCTAGATGTCCAATTTCTCTGAAAAAGCTTACTACACAGGGCCCACAATCTCACTTGATGTCAATCAGGTGGGCCGAGGAGCCACTATCTGCTAGAGATGGGGTTTGGGCCCTTCTGCTGGCTACAGTCCTTTCCCAAGCTGCTGACATTACCTGGCAAGCCACTGTAGACATTTGATGCTCAGATGTACATTATCTGGGGAAAATCGCTGCCAGAGACATTGACTCAAGCCTTAACACCAAACTGTCTCAGTCAGAATATTCACATCCAAATTGCAGTTTCCAGAGATGTTTCACACTGACCTGCTTGAGATTTTATTTAAGCCATGTCATATCTTATTCTTTCAAGCATGAGAAGATCAGATGCTAGCTACACTTTTTAAAATCTGACAATAGCACTTGGCTTGCACAGGTGAAGAGGCGTAAGGGTAATAACTTGGGAATTTGCAGAAATTTGAATAAGTGATGCAAGCTCCTTTGTCCACCTTCTTTGCGGTTCCCAAAAGCAATTGAGTGGCAGCAGAAACTCTAGGCCAAGAACTACACTGGGACTGAAGGACATAAAAATGAACCAGACAAGCAAAAAGACAC